CACACACACACACACACACACACACACACACACACACACACACACACACAGCAGCAGCTTTGAATTAATCACCCTTGTCTCACTTCATAAACAGGCATAAAAATAAAAAACAGACTGCTTTGGACTTTATCTCCTCCGAAGGGGACAAGATCTCTCCAAACATCTCACCAGATGTTTCTTCTCCTCACACTAGCCATCAGTGTTTGTGTGTGTGTGTGTGTGTGTGTGTATTAAAGAAAAATCATGGTCCAGAGTTAGAAATCCAAAGTGGGCAGAGTCCTAATAGGATGACAGCACTCTAAGTGGATAGGGTTTCACTGTTCCAGGAATAAGTTTCAGACGAGGATAAAGGAGATAAAAATATCTCCTTGACTTAGCAGCTTGTGCACCTGTATTCTGCTTTACCTCTTACTCACTCTCAAATGAATCTRCTACACATGTACAGTATATATAGATAAATTTGTTAATTCTTTGTACACAGGCTGAAACACAGATGCAGATTTTTTTAATGTGTGCAAACATCAATAGAGATAAATTAAATGAACCAAAAACAAAAAGCATCACTCTAGTACATTTTGGTTTATATTTTTGTTCAGTTCTCTAATAAGATAATCCCATTTTGCTTCAGTTCTTTTAAAGGTCAAGAAAAAATTAAGGACTATTAGCTTCAATTTGTATTCTTCATCCCACCAGAACTTTTCTTACTGAATTTCATTTCAGTTCTTGTCTCATTCGACATTTCTCCATCTTTCTTGCAGTGGTGGGCACAGCTGACCAAAAGGTTAGCTTTGTTAACTCATAATTCACAAAATAAAAATATAGCTTCGACAATAAACATGTAAAAACAAAAATAAGCAGAAGTTAATGCTAAAAAGCTTAACAATAAGCAGAAGCTATCATTAACAGCTAATTGCTAACGGCTAAGACGACGTCTCTCACTCGGCATCACATATCTGAAGACACAAACGTGTTGATGTTAGTTCGTTAGTTAGCAGATTTAAATTTGGTGAAACCTAAATTAGCAGAAGCTAATTTGTCCATTAACAAAATGAAAAATAGTAGCTGTTAAATGATGAGCAGAACCATGCCCATTGCTGGTTTCTTGTCTGCTCTTCTTCTTTTGAGCTAATTTTTACTCAAGTTTTAACAAACAGCAGACAGTAAACTGAAAGATGAATCATCATCTTTTTTCCTTAGAATAATGGGCTGAACAATGACAAGTTTTCAACAAACACCTCTCCAGGAATCACCTTGTGAGCCTCGAAACATCAAAGAGTGAAGCTAAAAGTTCACATTTATTTAGTTTTWGGCTGTTTTACGTCGGTACAACACTTTTTACACCTAATTCATTAATTTGTGTTTAGAGTTCTAAACTCAGAAGCGCTTTCTTATAAAAATGGCAAAAAACAATAATTAGGAGCGAGCTGCTCACCGGAGTGCAGGCCGATCCGGATCCGGATCTTCAGGTCAGGCATGTGTCTCGCCTTGAAGGTTCCRATGCAGTGGAGGATATCCAGAGACATGTTGGCCATTTCTGCTGCATGACGGTTACCGTTCCTGGTGGGAACTCCAGAGGCCACCATGTAAGCATCTCCAATGGTTTCTACCTAAAYACAACAAAAGTAACATGTTTAACAAACGCTTGTTACATAAACAGACTATTTTTCTGTCTTAGCAGCTGTGTGTCCTTTAAAAATATRAAATTTTTGATCTAATAAAGGAACATGTGTGCTAAGTATCAGATAGTTCCACACAGACATTGATTTGTTTTTGACAAATTCAGCAGGAAAGTCATAAAAACAGCTATTATCTTCCCTTCATGTCTTTATTGTTAACTTAATATTATCACTTCATTGCTATAAAAGGATTATGAGAAAAAACAAAGATTTTGAGACAATAAAACATTGCCAGATAAAATAAATGACAATAAATAAAAATAAAACAAGTAGAATGTGACTTCTTTTATTTTTTAAATATACCTTCAYATGACTTATACTTGATAAAATACTGTAATAAATATAAAATCAGAGCCTGCAGAATAAAGTTCAGGTATTTATTGTCAGGAGTATTAAATTATTATAAGTTACACAGAGACGATAGTGGCTCACCTTGTAGACGTCGTGCAGGGGAATGATGGCGTCGAAGAGGCTGTAGAGGTCGTTGAGCAGATCGACCACCTCGATGGGTTCACTGAGAGCCGAGATGGTGGTGAAACCCACGATGTCGCTGAAGTACAGCGTGACCTCAGTGAAATGCTCTGGCTCCACAGGTTTGCCTAACTTCAGCGCCTGAGCCACCGACCTGAAGAGCGTCGAAGATGATTAAAGAACCGAGGCCGACRTTCAGAAACAACAACATGCGACACRRCTTTTMTTCTATCACCAGGTCATTACTGTAATGTGGACAAAACTTGCTTCTTCTACGTGATAAAAAAAAAGATGTGACTGAGAATGGAAGTGTTGAAGTGTWTAAACCAGAGGTGTCCAATCCTGGTCCTCGAGGGCCACTCTCCTGCTTACTTAGAGGTTTATTTTTTCCAAATCACCTGGYTTGAATGAATGAATAATTAACAGACTTCTGCAGAACTYAAAGAGGTAATTCATTCACTGAATCAGGTGTGTTGGAGCAGGAAAACRAGGAAAACCTGCAGGATCATGTCYCCCGAGGAGCAGTTTTGGACACCCCTTCAGTTAAAGGATAACAATAAAGCAGTCCGGTAGTTTTTATTGTCTTTGCCATAAAGAAAAACTTGCAACTTCTTTGCAGCAAATAGCAGTTTTTAAATGTCGTATTTTACATGATCCAGATTTCATATCTCTCTAAATTCATTTCAGTGCTGTGATGAACGAAGAATGATTATGTCAGAGACAAACACATTTTAAATGATCAGTAGAAAAAAATAAATGATCAATTATGAGAAGGATTGTCTGCTGAATACATGACACCTTCCTATAATAAACACCTGAGTCTTGTTTTTGATGTTAGCCAAGAATTTTAAAACATGAGAGGGAAAAAATGACTTGTGGAAGATGTCAATAAGCAATATTAATTTCTGAGACAAAATATCTGTTTTTCTAAAGAAATGAAATAAAGAAATAAAAATAATAAAATACTGTGTTTTTTTATTATTTATTGCTGTTTGTTAAAGTAACAAACAACAATTCTGATTTAAACCAGAACAGCACAGTTGCATTATTTCCTTCTTTAAAAGCTGCTGGATGCTTACTTGGGCAACATCTGGGCCACCAGCTGGTCCGTTTTCTGTCTCTCCACCTCCAGCTCCTCCGTCCTCTCTCTGATCAGATCTTCCAGGTTGGAAGAGTACTGCTCCAACATCTTCAGCATGGAGTCGATCAGGTTGATTTTCTTTCCCTTTGAGATGCACTTGAACTATRATATAAAGCARACKTGTCAAACTCACGGGCCAAATCYGTCCCCTYGTAAACATTTCATCTGGCCCCAAAGGCAATACTTTAAAAGTGAAATATTTGAATAATCTTTGTATCAGTGGACAAAGTGCATTCAAGCTTTCAAGCCGAAAAAAATTTCAGTTCGAATTTTTCAGTAATCTTCAGTTTTAACCTTAATATTTTTTTCTGTATTGTTTTCTTATTTTGAGTCACTTAATTAGATTTTTATTGAGAGTTTCCTTTTTAACTCATTTGCTGGATTGTAATAAAATGTATCTTTAAGAAAAAATAAATGAAAAATGAATGCTGTCTAAACATAATCTTTTTTCTTCGTCCATTAGGGCAGTGGTTCCCAACTTTTTTACTTGTGTACCCCCTGAACCATTTTGTCATACCACCAGTACCCCTTCAGTCAAACACAATAATGATTCTCCAAAAATATAATGTACTATAACTGATTATTAAATTTAATTCTCAGGCATTTTATTTTTTCAACTCAAATTAAACATAAAGATAAAAACATTGCCTTGAAAGTGAATAGGTAATTAAATAAATAAATAAACAAGGTAATAGCAGGTGAAGAAAAAGCAGCGTCCAAAAAACATTGTATTGTCCAAAATATGTCAGAAACTCACTCAAATGAGCAAATTCCATGAGATTCCACGTTTTATACTGGATTGCAGTTTGTGTTAATTCTGTGATTCCGACTGCAATTTCCGCATTGCGGAAATCATAGGGCCTTACATATCTCAGTCCTATTTAAATTTACACACCTAGGAAATKTTTCCATGTACCCCCATAAAATGCTCACATACCCCTGTTTGGGAATCACTGCTTTAGACAGTGAAGGGCTGATGGAAATGTCCAAGGTCCTGAAAGTGCTGGAATATTTCAGGACTGTAGACAGTGTGAAGAGCTGAAGGAACTGTCCAAGGTCCTGAAAGTGCTGGAACGTTTCAGGACTATGTACGTTCTAAATACTATATAAAACATAATTTAGAAAAGGTCATTTGTATCACTATAATAATTATTTCATATCTAACATTTTTCAGTAAATATTGAGATATTTGCTTGGACCATGTTTTGAATTTTTGCCCCCTTGTGTAACTAACTTTGATCCTCCTAAAATGGAGCAATTAACAAGGTTAATTTTACAGTAAAAAGGATGATTTTAGAGATCCTACCTGCTTGAAAATTTCTTCAAAAGTCGGCCTCTTGTCTGGCTCTTCACTCCAGGCTTGTCTTACTAACTGTATGACGTCCAGAGGGGCCTCTTCCACCGACACAATAGGCCGACACAGAGGAGGGGGCTTTTTTACCTTGTTGATAATCTCTGTCAACAGAAAAAAATCACAAGTAACAAGTGAGGAACACACAGAAAGGAGGAACTATATTATCTAATGAGCACCTAGGATAATAGTTCAGGTAGTCACCTTTCGGAGGCATGTCCAGCATGCAGAAAGGCGTGGAGCGGGAGACTACCTCCTGCACAACGATGGAGAAGCTGTAGACGTCCCCACAGAAAGTTCCTTTCCTCCTCAGGCTTGAGTTTCTCAGCAGCTCCGGAGCTGTCCACAGAAGGTCTGTGAAGCAAAAAAGTTGCACAACTGTGAGTTTGACTCTTTGACATGCACAAAAAAACCTAATCATTGAAACGATTCACGTGTTCTCACCCTCAGCTTTTTCCCCGTCAGCGTCAATGCCTTGTGCAATCAGAATATCATTAAAGCCGTAATCTGTCACCTTCAGCACAAAGCGCCCATCCACCACACAGTTACGGGATTTGAGGCGCCCRTGGATGATGTCACGATGATGCAAATACTTCATTCCCTGGTGATGGACTCGAGTCATGAGAAAATATGGTATGGCACAAAATGAAACATGAAAAATCTTTTTTTAAATAACTCTCTTACCCTGATCAGATCCATCAACAAGGAGGACTTAAACATCCAGTCAAGACGCACATCTTCGTTGGCCAACAAGTCCTCCAAGCTGCCCCTGTTACAGTGCTCCGTCACCACGCCGAAGATCCCAGAGTCAAAGAACAGTCCCAGGAACAGATTTAGGTTTTCATGCCTCATTTCTCTAAGCTGAAAGGAACATATTGTTTTTCTCTTTTGTTTTCTAGTTGGAGTAGTGAAAGATACTTGGAGTCCTTAAAACATTCTCTTACCTTCACAAAGACCACCTCAGTGCTGCTGTTGACATTTGAAACTGTTCCTGATGGACATTTCTTCAGCCAAACCCAATCACCCTGGAATAAATATATGAAAAACAATCTTTATGAAACAGCAAGCTCCATGTAAATTGTTATTTTTTTCATGTACTGAAACAATGATGAGACATTGTATGTTGTGACTTGGCGCTGTATTAATAAACTGAATTGAATTGAAATATCAGGAATCACAAAGTTCACCATGCAGATTTTTCCTCACCTCAAACACCGCCACATTGGAGCTGTCAGGAGTGGAGGCTAAGTAGCTGCGACCGGACACTGAATGGTGTGGCGTCTTCATGTCCCCCTGACTCTTCGTTATGCTGTCGTCATTTAGCTTCTGCACATAAAAAATGGGTGAGGAGAGACAAATTAGTTTAGAGCAAATTCAAAACGTAAACTGACTGAATCCAGGACTGACCCGTTTGCTGATCTGAGTATTGATGAAGACCAGGTCATCCAGGGTCAGGACAACCTTTGACGAGCCACTGTTTCCATCGCCCTCAAAGTTAAGTCCAACGCTGCCATTTCTTTTGTGCAGACAGACAATTAAATTAAATATGAAAGCACACAAAAAAATGGAAGTTTTATTTTTCCCAGCAGTGTGGTACGTACTTCAAACGTAGGAAGGTGTTTATTCCAAATCCCACCAGTGAAACGAACACAAGGAACAGAAAGAAGAGTGTGATCGGATCTGTGCCTTTAGAAAGAAAACAGAAGGAGAAAAGTTTGAATGCATGTTGAACACGTTAACTTTCATGTATATGGTGATGTGCTCACCTCCAGTACAGGCAAAGTATGGACTAAACCAGCAGCTCGAGTCTTTAAAGGGCGTGCTGCCCGCAAAATGGATCGAACGCCCGAGATACTTCAAGCCCCCGGTCGTACCGTCTGTGTGAGTGGCATGGAGCGAATGCGTGGARTAAAGCGTGTCCCCCATGCCACTGTAATCCAGAACCACATAGGCAGCCTGCATTCCCTCGCCTTTCCTTCCGGCCTGCAAGTGCTGGTTGAACCCTTCGAACTCGAAGCCCCCCTCGCTGTCTCCCAGGATGTGACCCGTTACCCAGCGGCCTCCACGGGCACGGGCTTGCTCTGCAGCCATGGCTATGTAGTACAACATGTTGTAAATGGTGCCAAAGAATGGAGAAACCTAAAAACAATCACATAACATGTGAATAAAATGCTATTGTTTGTGTCTCTGTCGTCTCAAGTAAAGTCAAAGGGTCTCACCTGCTCTGGCGGGGTGCTGCTGCGTATCTCGTAGCTGCTCTGAGCATCTCTGAAGGCCTCATAGAAGCTGCGATTTCCAGACTCCATAGTGATGGTGAGGACCCCGTCATAGGCTTTCCGGAGCTTGGTGTCATTCCCCAGCAGAGGGTAGTGGGTGTCTTTGTAGGGCAGCGAATACAAGAGGGTGTCGTAAGGAATGAAGACGTAGCCGCGGTCTATCATACGCATGGCTAAGGCCGTGGTCAGGAGCTTGTACTGGGCTTGGCCACCGATCAGCACAGAAGGCATGCACATGATGATCACTGCACAAAGATTATTATTTGAAACACAGCCTATCGATATATTTCATTGGGTTTTACATTCTAAAAAAGTGCAGCTTACCTTTGACTCGGTCTGCTTCTCGCACTTTACTCAAAGCTCTCCGAGGCCCTTCCCTATCAGTCTCCATGGTCACAACAGGACTGACAGGAAGGCCTAGGGTCCTCAGAGAAGAAGCCAACTCCTGGCCCGTGGCCTCCCACACGTCGGTTTCCTCTGAGATGATGGCCACGTGTGCCCATTGGAAGAACCGCAGCACGGCAAAAAGCACATGTGAGGACAGCGGCAGCGGCCGGAGGAACGTGGGGTACGTGTCGCCTGTTTTCATGCCGGGCCTGAGACAGCCCCAGGAAAGCAAACCCATGTCCCACTCCTTGGCGTAAAGTGCAGCCGAGGAGCAGTAACCTGGGTTGGCGGGACCCAGGAAAGCGGCGCCGTAACTCTCCAGGTCGGCGAAGCGGATGAGAGCGCGCGTGGATTTGCAGTCCTCGTTGACAAGCGTGTAGTCGTACCAGTAGCCTTTGTTGAGGTAGGGGTTCTTGTTTATGCGGCTGGTGGCAAGGCGGGCCGCCAAATCAGGAAGGGCCTTAGAGTATAGGGGGTCACACGTCCAGGGTCCAACCAAGGCCACCTTGAAAGTGGTCGCCTGGACTTGACAGGGGAACGACGAGATCACGAGTAAGAAAATAAGAAACCAGCTCCCCCTCCATCCCCTGACGTGCCGCATGGGGGATGATGGCAGCTGTGGTTTTGATGACAAAGACAACGACGCTGATAAGAGTTCAAACTGACTACGACCATTAAAACTATTCGTGACCACTGTCCATATATGTCTTTTTCTTATCACTTTCACTGAGTGGTGCCTCCATCGCGGGTGGTAGGCGAGGTTGTGCAGACAGCAAGAGTCTCTCTGAGTTTCCATTTTTTGTCTCACAAATCTTTTCGGATGCCTCGGATGGCAAAGAGTGGGGGTGCTGAGCGTTTGTATTGGTCAGCGTGAGAGCGTCTGTGGTGAAGGCCTCCCGGAGTACTTTGCAGACCTCTAGTCCAAAGGTGGACAGGTGACAGAGGGAGCCTGAGCCATCACTGCCTCCAGAAAACAAGAATGGAAAAGATTTGTTACCTGTTAGCATTACATTTGATAACTTTATTGCTAAAACAAATGACTTTTTGAAACAGACAGAATCTCTTGAAACCTGAAGCTACATGCCGCTGAGCTTTTTTTTCTTTTGAGCCTTATCAGTTCGTCTGGTCTCGTTGCTGAGAACACGGTGCCCGTGCTGTCCTACAGAGACTTAGTAGTTTGTAACAAGCTCATTAGCTCTGTCAGAGTCAAAGAGTTTAAACCATAGGCCAGGTAACCAGGAGCTAAATCTGGCTCCCTTTCTTCTCTCTGTATGGTCTTTTGGTTTTTTATTGCTGATATCTTGTTCTCGAAAAACATTTTTATTATCTTCAATTCCAATTGAGTCGTATACGTTGCACCTTACTTCAAGCTTCCAAAAATCTGTTAATTCCCCCTTTTTCAGCAGCATGAACTTACGATGGACGATTGATTGAAATATGTGACCCATCGTATAGAATTTGGTCAAAATGACCTAATTACATTTTCAAATTCCTGGCTTTAAAAGCTACATTTTGATATCTGAATCATTCTGATATCTTAAGCTTATTCAGAGATAAAACTCAATTTGTCTTGTTGGTTACGATAATATATCACAGTGAGGTCTGAATCCTAATTCAATGTAAATGTATTGAGTAATTTTTGATGTCAATATAAAGAGGAAACATCAAAAAATATTAGTATATTAAGATTTCCCAGATGGAAAGAAATAAAACGTTAGCTCACAGGGAAAATTTCAAAATTTTAAGGCATTTTCCCTCAAAATCTTTTTTGTTGTTGTTGTTGCTAATGCTTGAAAAAATGCTTCAAAAAGTTTTTTGTAGGATTGAATTTCAGACAGTTCATTCAAATGATACATTGATAAGGGATTAATTCATTATATTTTGACAAAATGCAACTTTTGCACACATTTAAATCAAAACCCTGTATCTGCCTATTTCTCCACATCCCACTTTTGGACTTAATCCTCGTTTTGATGTGATGGGTCACATAGTTCCAATTTGACAAGCATCTTTTGTATTTTTTGAACCATGGCTGAATTAATTTGAGAGCAATTGATCTGAAAAATACTGTTTTAGTACATGATCATAAAATTTTAACTTAGGAAAGTGTGTCAAATGTGATTCAGAAAGACTTTGTTTCTGATCAAAAACTTTTTCTCTCTAGAACGCAGTAATTAGGCACCAAACTGTACATCATAATGAGTTTAGCTTCTTTACTTGACTCTAATATGTAGAGTACATTTGTTTTAATACTAATAAAACAACAAAACTATTTTTCATACATTTTGGGCAATGTTATGAAAAGGAGTTGGTAATGTTGTGAAAAAACCTTTCTCACCTTTCAATCAATCAACATGATGCTGATTTTTATTTTAACTAAACATTGTTATTTTACACAGCTGTCTCATTTACAGCAGAACTGAACAATAATAGCTTATTTAGCTTATGGTGTTTCACCACATAAATACCATCGACACCCTTCCTCTACTGTATAACAACTCACAATGACTTTTTGATTTATTTTTGTTAAATGATTCATAGCTTTACATTTAATTTAACATTGAACCCATTCCATAAATTGTAACTCTCCTTATCTTAATAAAAGCAACCAACAAAACCACTAAAGATATCATCCTGTCAGCTACTACATAAAGAGGGGTCCTGTTTTTATGTGCTACTAAATAATAAAAAGTCATTAAGTGTCATAGATAGATTTTTTTAAACACAGACTGTAACACATRAGAGATTATATGGTACTCTGTGTTCCCACAGGAATAGCTGTCCCAATATAGATCTCTATAAAGCTACAGAGAAATGAATTATTTGCTGTAATACCCATAATAGATACAGCAAATTACAGAAGATAGCTTTAATATACCTGAGATCTTACCTGGAGCAGTTTTCTACACAGGAGGCATGCTAGAGTTGGAGTCATTAGGTAGCACCAGGTGGACTCGGCATCAAACAATTATCTTTGTTCTTACATCATAGAGAACATCAGAGGTAAATCCAAATGTCGTGATAAATAAAATCCCAGGTTAAAAAAATGATCTCATCTTCTGTTTAATTTCCTGTAATTTAAAAAAAAAGGTGCTACATTTAATAACAAGGTTTTTACATGTCCAGCGGGAGTTATAGTCTCCTGGCGTCACTTTGTCCTGTTCGAGCCCTGTTTTGGACTGGGACCCACCCCAAACCACAGGTACCACAGGTGGAGAGAGACCACACGGAGAGAGGAGCTGGGACCCTGCTCCAGGGTTCAGGTTGGTAAAAATAGATTGGCCAAAAGCTGGAAAGTGGCAATAGGTACAAGAAAGGGGAGGAAAAAAAGTGGGAAGGACTGACGAGCTTTGGCTTCCCAACCTTCTTTAGCTTTTAATCCATACTAGTGTGAGGAAGAGTGTGTGTGGGGGGAGAGGGGGGAGGGAGAGAGAAGGTGAAAGTAGAAGCACACTCACCGTTTGCACAGTGCTCACGTGCCAGAGGAGATGATGTGACCTAGCAATGACTGCATGGTGATAGGAACTTAAAATAACCTGAAATTTGTACAAAAAAGTAACATAAATAAATCGAAATATGTTATAATCAGAGCAAGTCTGGAAAGAGAAGGGGAATAATAATACAAGTGAGAACATTCCAACTTGTTCAAAATAAGGGGTTCACAACAAAACAAGAGGGCACTACGTGTCTAAAATAAGTTCCTTAAATAAATTATCGATGTACCTTTTATAGGAGAGAATGTGTTTTTAAACATATAAATCTGAAACCAGTAGTGGGAATAAGTTCGCCAATCAGCTGAACTCTTTTTTTTTTTTTTTTGGCAGATTTGCACTGATTTTAAAAATTGTTAGTGAGCCAATTAGCTTCCACTAAATTATGTTTTGCCAACTTTAAATCCACTAACAATGATCAAGCTAACATTAACAGGTTTGTTTCAGTCCCACCAGTCCTCAACTAGAAGAAGAAAAAAACACAGACTGAGTGATAGACAGCTTAGCTATTAGCACTAGCTTCCACTAATTTATATTAGCCTTTACATTTTTTTATATTTAGTTGTTTAGCACTAGTGAAGCTATGTTTCATCACTGGTAGCTAGAGTTAGAAATGTATGCAAATACTTAGTTACATTTACAAGTATTTGTCCCAAAGAAACACACCAGTAAACGTTGCCCTGTATTTGTCCTCTTATGAGATTTTAAGCTTGTAACCAGCCTTTTTCTAAGGTTGTAGTATTTAGCTACGATTCTGCTAATTTTGTCTTTTAGCTAGCCTTTTGCTACTTCTAGCTAGACATACTGCTTTCAGTTTCTACCTAGCTTTTAAGCTTTTAATTACTAATTTATGATATATTTTGCTAACAGGTGAACAAGGTTGACTCCAGTTAAAGATCTTGAAGAGTTAGAGCTCAGATGACTCTCAGTTAGCTAACTCAATATCATTAAAAGCAACTGAGTCATAACCGTTGTTACAGGATCGTTTGCCTTTCACGTTGATGGACAATAATTACAGAATTATGCTTGATCACTTTCATTTTCAGTTCACAGATTCAAGTAAAACTTAACATGTCTTATGGAGCTTATAATGAAAACTCTCATCTAATAAAATGATTGTATAGCGAATGCGTTTGATGACTAATGTGAAACTAGACATCTGCACATCATTTACGGCTCCATGTTTCGGTAAAATTCAGAAGAAGAAAAAAGCCCGCTGTCCAGAGCTCTCAGCACCATACATGCAGGAGTGATTCTCATGAAGGCACAAGACGAGCACAGGGCTGAAAATATCCTCTGTGGTATCTGTGGTAAGCTCCTGAAAGGTGCTCTTTTGACCTGGCAGCTGGATTTAAAACCTCGAAACACAGAGAAACACTACAATAAATAAAATAATAAGAATCTTTTAAACATAAATTGCAGCCAAAGGGTGTTCAGACGTACATCTCCTGCAACGACCTTTTGCTGAATATTCGGGGGGTGGTTTTGTTCTCGTTCTGCACAGTGATAGAAGACTTGTTGAAGTAATCAGATTAGTCAGACGAGGCCTCGCTAAACTGATCTGCTGCACGCAAGCCTCTTAGTGACATGGCTGACAGGGCTGGAAGAGATCACTCCACAGCAAGGTCAGATGCAGAGTCAGTTCAGCTGACAGGAGAAGGGAGGCTTGGGTCAGAGCAGACACAGCAAAAACACCGAAACACCTGCAGTGATCTGTACTCCCATTAAAATAACAGACAGATTGTTGAGAATTTCTTTTGTGGGAGGAGCTTATCTCATCAGCTGCATCCATCTTTGGCAGCTTCTCTCCATGACACTGCTCGCTACTTCTAGGATCACAAGATAAAAGAGAATACTACTTGAGTAAAACTTTATTATTAAAACTAATTGTAACATTAGACATTATTTGATACTTCAACTATAAAAACAATAAATTGAGTTAGCTCATGATATTAGCTTGGATGCTATTAGGCTCWTAATATTAGCTTGGGGACTAATGCCACTTATGTATTAGTAATATATATGCACATTCATTGTCACACATTATAGCTTTTTAGCCTTGACTCAGAGTTTGTCTTAATTGTAACCAATCATCATCATCATCATGACCAGAATGCATTGGATCAGTGATGAAACGGCAAGTGAAAACCATAATGAACAGAGAATTTTTTTTAAGTAATTTGATGTTTTCACACAGCACAAACAGCAACTTTTATTAGAATAGAGCAATAGCATCATATTAAAAAAATAAGTAGGTCCTCTGGAAGGTTCTTCTTTAATGAAACATTTCGTCTCTCCTCCAACAGACTTCTTCAGTCTGAGGAGTTTCAGGTGAACTCAGCCTTATAAGCACTGCCTCCACATGGTGGACAAACAGGTATAACGATGACAATCAAAACTGTTGATCACATGCAAAAGAGGACCATAGATCATTAGTTCCCTGATCATTTATAGAGAATCATGAACAAAATGTCTAAAGGACCTATTTTTTTTCTACTTGGATTACTGAGATGCATCCGAATAACATATTAAGGCCAACATGTACAAATTGCCTGAGTCTGAGAACCATTTAAAGTATCTGACATTTATTGTAAGGAATAAAAGTTAAACATTGTCTAAAATATAATTATTCCAGTGAAGTATAGATAACCAAAATTTCTATTTAAGTAAAGCAAAATACTATTTTGTACTTTGTTACAAGACCCCTACAAGATCAAAGCTGTGGAGAAAAGCTGTTCTGGTGTGAATTAAGATGTGTAACCCTGAACAAAGTAAGAGAAGAGGTTTCATCACAGTCTGACTGCACGCTGCTGCCCYACACGATCAACAAAATACACACAAAGCATCATAACATTCATGTCATATCTGTTCTTATTCTCATCAACCAGGATGAAAGGTTCACTGATCATCAGAGGAGTTTTGTTTCGACTTGATAACAAAAAGTCCAAAACATAGATTTGAGTGGATTTCGACCTACATTCACGTTGTTGACAATCATGCAGAAAAGGCAGGAAAAACTGATACAAAATTAGGTTAAATTCCCTGGAGAAAACCCTAACTTTACGCAGTTGATGAGGAAAATGTAGCCCATTTTTACAACAAATGCGAGGATTTTACATCTCAGAGCTCTTTCACTTGTTTTCACTTTAATCTGAAACCTGGATAAAATGTGTATTTCTTTAAAATACACACTTGGTAAAGCAKCCTGTAACAGTTTGTTCTTACATGTTGTCTGTTTATCTGTGTTTGATAAAGCAAACAAAGATAACACATTCTGACGAATAAAAAGGTAAATTAGCATCAACAAAGTGATTCTCCTGGAGTTATCAGCTGAAAACTGTGATCAACTGAAGGATGATGATCTCTCAGRTTATACAGATACTGTTCATCTCCTGTTTTTTTTAATTATTTGTAAGTTTTTTGTTTTCTACTCTTCTGTTTTCCACATTTTTGAAGCACACCCTGCACAACATGCTGTCATAAAACCTGTTGATTAAAGGCAACGGAAAGGTTTCTAGTTCTGTAAATGAAACCTTGAAACTAGATCATAGCATCATGTTTCCAACCCTGTAGATGTGGATCTCAGTGTTTTCATCGATCTGAAAGTTACACTAATTATTTGACATATTTTATTGATTTATCAAACAGAAAACAGGACAGGTCACATCATTTCCAAAAGGATTTGTTCACACTTAATTTCTATTAAACTTGAACCCATTGAGGGCCGTGACAGGT